AAGTGCAAGTTTTGCAATTTGAGCAATCATTATGTCAAGTTCAACAAATAATAATAATAATAATAATAATAAAAAGCAAAGATTAATTAAAGAATACCAAAGTAGGTTAAACGCTATCCTCAGAACACAGTTAAAGCAATAAACACATATGTCATCCCAGTACTCACATAATCTTTTGGAGTTATACATTGGACTCACACGGATCTCGAGCAACTCCAAAGGAAAACAAGAACAACACTTACTAAGCATAAACAACATCATCCTAAATCCGCCACAGAAAGATTAACCCTTCCACGTAAAGATGGCGGACGTGGCCTGATCGACATAGTTAGCCTTCACTACAAACAAATACAGTCACTGCAAGAGTTTTTCTACAGGAAACAAGAAACATCACAATTACATAAAGCAGTAACTCTAGCAGACTTAAATTGCACACCATTAAACTTACACTCACATCATACAGACATGACACAACATATAAAAAGCATAGATACCATCAAGCAATCGTGGGCTCGAAAGGCACTCCACGGCAGGAATCCTTATGATCTGGCCCAGGATTTTGTTGACAAAACTGCGTCAAACAGCTGATTAGATCGGGGATGCCTCTTTGGGGAGACGGAAGGATTCATGATTGACATACAGGATCAGGTCATAAATACTAAAAACTACAGAAAACACATACTCAAAGATACAACACTCACAAATGACACATGCAGAAAATGTCACATCATGCCAGAAACTATACAACACATCACTTCTGGTTGCAAGCTCTTGGCACAGACAGATTACTTACATAGACACAATCAAGTAGCAAATATAATACACCAAGAGCTTGCAAAGAAACACAAATTGGCAGACATCCACGAACCATACTACAAGTATATTCCACAGACAGTATTGGAAAATAACACGCACAAAATGTATTACGACAGAGCCATAATCACAGATAAAACAATTTACCACAACAGACCAGACATCACACTCATTGACAAACACAATAAAATCACATACATTATAGACATAGCCATTCCAAACACTCACAATGTACAAAACACATGCACTGAAAAAATTAGCAAGTACACAGAACTCGCCCAGGAAATAAGGCATCTGTGGAGGATGGATAGGGTAGTTATTGTACCTGTTGTTCTCTCCTGTACAGGTGTGATACCACACACACTACACAAAAGCCTGGGAACATTACAATTGAGTAGAAATACATACATCACACTACAGAAGGCCACTATATTGAATACATGCCACATTGTTAGGAAATTCCTGAATACAGACACTGACACACTTATTTAATTTGTTTTGGTTGCTATGCCTTGACTCTGGTCCGGCATAGTACACAGCCACCGGTTTAAACCGAGTATTACCCACTAAACTCAACATAATAATAATAATAATCATCATCATCAAATTTGGAAAACCATAAAAATGAAAACCAAACCAAAAACCATAACAACAATAAAGAGAAATGAAAAAACAAAAAATGATTATGATAAATGATTACTATAATGGATTGCACAGTTGATATTCCAATTATTTTCATTTTCATTCTTTTCCAACATTACTATTATGTACACTTGATGTAAGTACATTAACAATAAATTAACATCAATAGATTATAGATTAATTACATTCTATTTACCCAAATTCAAGCTTTCAAACTGCTAAAATAATTTTCATTCATTGTAAGTTCACTGCAACTTTTTATTTTTTCCAATAATCCACATATACTTGCCATCAAGAGGCACTTATATGATGATGACATTTCTAAAATTATTTTAATTAACTTGTTCCATTTACCTTTTCAACAATTATCAATGACTTTTTATCACTTTTCACTAAAAATTAACAATTTATTTTCATAATGCATCATTAAGTAATGAGAAGTTGTCAAGTGGATGAAAATTACATCACAAATAATATAACTCTTTAAATCCAGCACAAACTATATTCATTAGCCTAACTAATGTTTTCAAGATAGATAATATTCTTAAGATTTAAACTCAAAAATCAAACAAAAGAACTCCATTTGATTTTGAGTTGTACACATTTCTCTTATTTGAAATAATATACAGTATATAACTTATTTCCTCAATTAAACCCTGGGGTTATTTTAAACATACTGGAGATTTTTCAAACCCGAAATTTATTACCTTGCAACAAAAGACGACTGTGTAAAAACTGAAAGAAATACCTTAATTACTTATCTAATTTCTGAACTATCAAAACCATTTTTGATTATATTTATAGATTACAGCTACATTTGAAATAAACTAAACTACTGTTTTCATAGTTAACCCGATTAAGTGTTTTCTGATTCGGTTATTATGTTCTCGTTTGTGTCTGTTTCGATGTCATTATTGAAATTAAAATCTTCACTAACATCTTTTGGTATCACCATCTCCAATTCAAGTTTTTCTAATTAACCTTTGGCCAATAAACTTTCGACTTATGGACTCAATCGCATCTTGCCCATGCTCAATATTCGACAATATTTATAATTTTACTTCCAAAATTTTTTCCATCAATCTTGGAAAATACAAAGTGCTGTCTGACTCTAAACAATTTGATGGGATAGAATTTTAATTAAAATCCTTATCTGTTACTCTAAACTACATTAGCCTACACAGTGCAGTACTTTGACATGTTTCCCAACTTTTCGACCAGGGGTTTATTTGAATCCCGGATTTAATCAAGAAAATATTACTGGTCTCGTTTTCAAACATATTGTTTATTTTAATAAAAAATTATTGTGACATCATCACAATGCCAGGCTGCAATATGCTCTCCACCTCAAAGCCCCCATACATCATACTTTTCCTTTAACAATAGAGTCATGCCGGTCATCTATAGAGCATGCACTTTTCAAAGCAAATACGTGGCACTATTATATGGATTATGGATACATTGCTTCTTGTTTTGTCTGTCACATTGCTTGAAATTGCTTTTTTACTTATTTAGATATTATTGAAATTCTTGTTTAATTGTTGTGAATTTCAGTATAATGCCAATAATAATAAATGACCAGGTTTGAAATTCACAAATTTTCAAATGACCCAATAAGAAAAAAAAAAGAAATAAAAATAAAAACTCAAAATAAAATCAGTGAATGCACTCGGATCAGTATCAGACATTTTGATGAAAATGATTAAAAGTTACTAGTATGAGCATGTTTATAGGATGCTTTCTAATTTATATTTTTTATGAAGTACTAGCAGACCCCGCCACGCCTTATTGTGGCTCAAAATGTATCTATTATAAATGTATAACACATCCCCCGTGGAGGGGGGAGAATTTTTCGAAAAATCTCTTCTTATTGTACATTCTGTTGACATACTCTATTAAAATGCAATCAAAAACACAAAAAACCGCATCTAAAATAGTATAAATAGAAGCAGAGTTCTTTACGGTAAGCCTTAATCCAGTCCATCTCCCCCAGTGGGAGAAATTTTGACACGTATATTATGTAAAAACACGTGCGTATTCAAATGCAGCGTTGTGTCAAAATTTCAAAGGAATTGGTAGGAACAAACGAACATTACATTTTTATTTATATAAATAGATAGAAGATGATCTGCTTTAGTTCATTCTCACAGAAAACATAATGCCTCACAGAAAAGCAAACTTAGGGCGTCGTACTCGTAGCGCCATCTGTTGGACATAAAAGCCTTAACCCTAGATGATATCTTTTAATTTATATGAATAATATAAAGCCTATGTCCACCCTGAAGTTCCATTGTAAATATTGGTAAAAGAATTTTTGAAATCGGATGAGTAGTTTCGGAGATTAGCCCTTGCATACAAACTTACAAACATTACCTCTTTATAATATTAGTAGCCTATAGATAAGTAGAATGACTTTTATTTAATAAATACTGTATGACGTACACTTACTTGTTAGTGCTTTTCACAGGTTAAATTTGACTACACACAATAAATACATAGCCTATGTCTAAAAGTGCAAAAGTTTTTGTCAATATTCTAGTTGAACATACTATTCCTATTACAAATCAAAATAATTTATTGTTAATTTAAAATCATCGCTAGGGCGCCTCTAGTGCCTGTTTTTGGCATACCGTTACGCGGACGGATACCCGTTCAATTAATCTAGCGCCTTACGTTCAATGGGTTATATATATAGATACGGGGAAAACAGGGGGTCTGCAATTGACCCTACTGACAACAAACATGTCTTGGCCCATAATTCTTTTAATTTCTTTCTTAATTCAGCAACTGTTACATTCTTTAAATCCAATTTTTATAAACAGATCAAAACATCCGCTTAGTTTCCACTACTTTACGCACTACCGGAAGTTACGCATACATCAAACTGACACTAGCGCCACCAGTGACGAAATGTAAACCGTGCATACCCCATTAACTGCTTTCAGAGGAAAAGTTTTGAATCGAAATAACATGACGTCCAGTTTGCATCGGACGTTCGTATATAGTTAATTAATTTAATCGAGGCCTCCAGTCCCTAAGGTTTCCATATCTGGTCTCGGATTTCATCTAACTAACTCTGTTCTCTAAATTAAGGAAGGACTGACAGTGGAAATTCATAGGTCTATAACTTTTTTTCAAATTGCAGCCCAATAAATGTTTTGTCTCCTTGTTGTCACCCCTTACATTAACTTTTTGGAGGGGTTTATTATATTCTCTTCTTTCCAAATTGGCATCTTTATAAGTTGTTTAACCTGAAAGCACGGCGAATGTTTTCGTACATGCACCGTAAATAAACAAACATTCTTGTTTACGATATTACATAACCGAATAACACAGATATTTTTGCAAAGCGGAAACCTAAAAATACTTTCTTTTATCTTACATACGAAAAAACTACAATTGAAACGAATATAAATTTTGCGAAAATATTTTTTAAAAAGTACAAATTATAAAAATTATCTCCTTCCGTTTTACTAATTATGATTAAAAATTAAACGATAATGAAAAAGTAGATAAAATACTTAAAAGAACGATACTTTACTTACGTGAATATTCATATCTCCTGAACCCACGTGACCCGTGTGTCGAAAATTTGTGGGACTTCCTATCATTGAACGGTCTATTCGATGCCGCCTCTTCTACAATATAATAAACGTGCTTAATTAGAAAATACGTTTTATTCCTTTCGAGAAAAATAACAAGAAGTAATGCCATTCTAACATACAGTATTAGTATAATGGACCCGAGCTGATTAGCCATCTTTAGTAAAATTTAAATATAAATAAATTATCAATAATATATGGTTATTGACTGTCACATAACATCCCCGCATCCAAACTATGTAAGCGATTCGTTAATCAATTGCTTCGAGAATTGCGGACTTCCGTTTCTGGTAAAGTGTGGGGTAAGAAATGTGTTCCTTAATTTAACCGAACTTCTTTATGAAATTTCCGAAAATTAATTTTTTTAGAAAAGAATGAAACGGAAAAGGTTGTTTTAAAGATCGTCGCGACGATGGATAGGAGAGAGAATCAATCTTACGGGAGGAGGCTGTTCGGTGACGCAACAGGTGAAACACTGGATCCAGATCTCGCTCATTCTTCCGACCTCGCGGCCTCTCCGGGGACTCCGACCGTCGGCCAGATTAGTCCGGTTGCCACGCTTTTTCGATCACCGCCTGAAAAGAGAAAAAAAAGTTCCCTGTCAATCGTTTCCTACATAAATCATTAATTCCGTTACCGTTTTAATATTTGTTTCCTTTATTTCGATGACGTCATAGAAGAAAGACAACGCACATTAATGAGTAAGTTGGCCAAAAGTCAAATTTTCGAAGCGATTAAATTTCATATAGACTAAATTCTCGTACTAAAGCATTGCCGCATTACGAGGTACAGTACTGTGTACCTATATTTCTGTACGTAACAACATATCTAATCGTTCTATTACAGCTTAATTAAAGGAAATGGCTTTATTACAGATGCGCATAAAAAAATTAACACAGAAATTTGTGCCGTAACGTAGTAATGCTATAGTATGAGAATTTTCTTTATATTTATGAAATTTATATTAAAATATAAATCGCGAAATAAATTATATAAAAATTAAACCTAAAAAATAAGCCCTCAAGGTGTATAAACACTGCCACACAATATATTCTATAAATAATAGTACTGTAGTATAAAAATTGAAACCACGTCTTTTCACTAGATGTAATTGTTAAAATTAAAACTTCATCAGATTAGGATTTGAATCTGATATACACTTCAGCTGGAACTAGCTTGAAAATGTAACAAAAATAACCACAAGAAGTTAATAATAATAAAAGATATAGCTTCTAAAATGAAAATTTTAATTTAAATATTTTTAAATATGTTTCAAAGCTACTGTATTTAGAAATCGTCTTCTACTTACATACAGGAATCGAGTCCGTGTCAAATAATTATTACACTACTTGGGCATACAATTTTATAATGGAAACAAACCTCAATCGAAATTATATTCGAGATCTAAGGCAATCATTGTCATTTTGATAGTTTTTTTTGGAGAAATACGTAATATCGATTGCCAATTATACATACTGGTGATGCCCTTAGCGTTCCATACAGTGAATCGTGACTAGATGGCGTTTCGAAAATTCGACCTTTGGCCAACTTTTTTTTATGGTCGTACTCCACTGCGAGACGGCTGGTTCATCTCCCCCATTTATTTATAATTCTCCGTACCTTACAGCGTGCAAGAATCGCCTATCGGACGGAGAAAGACTGCCGGAAATAGTGAAAGCGAAAGTTTCTACTAGGAATAGGATCGGAGGCGGACCCTCTCTTCTCCGATCAGATTCCCGGAAGACATCTTCCTCCTTTCTTATCGCTTTAATGGAAGGGTGACGAAGGGTCGTCTCTTTCTGTCTTCTAACGTTAATAATTGTTATTGGTTATTTCATTTTCGAAATACTCATCCAAGGTCACTTTATAATCGCAAAGTCTGTTTTTCATTTTTACTTTCTTCTCAGAATGAAATTGTGGCGAAATCGATGAAAGTAAGTATAGAAATGTCGAAGATTATAACATGAGACTAATTACGGAGGATTATCATTTTTTATATTTAGCCTATTCTAATAATGTCGAAAACAAACAAGAGATCGAATAGCAACTAGTTTGCTTGCAATATTATTATAATTGTTATTTTTTCGTTTAATTCATTTTTTTTTCTTGTAGTAAGAAATTGCTAGAAAAACAAACGCTACCGATTCGCTTTCTGATCAACTATAAATGCTAATTCATTACTACTTACGTAGCCTATTTAAAAAATACTGTAACGTGAAACGAGTGTCGCGATATTAAGATATTGCGGTTTCACTATATAAGATACGCTTACTTATAAACTATTCTGAAAAATAAATTTTCTATTTGCATATGTTTTTTCAAAATGTTTGATTAACCTCTTCTCACGCTGTATGACATACATGGAAGACAGTAAGTCAATCATATTATTAATTAATACCAACATACAAAATTGTTAACATCTCCGAAACGGTTGAGTTTTCAACCTGTTTGCTAAGGTTACTTTTTACTCAGCATGGTGTGTGTTATCTACCATATAAATGCTTAATGATTTTTTTAGAATCCATATACACATGTACCAGCAGAGAGAATAGGCGCTGCCCACGTTAAAAATTAAAGTTTTCTTTTAAACTTTTATTATGATTTCCAGTGGCGTGCCGTCCATGGAAGCTGTGGAAGCACCGCTCTCCTTGTATTTTTTAAAATATAAATACATATTGTGCGATTAATTTCGTATTTTAACGTACTTTGAATTAATTAAAATTAATACTTTAATATAACGGCATTATGTATCTTATTACAAATTTCTATACATGTGAAAAAACAATGACATATTCGAATATAAATTCGTATATGCATATTCCCAATGGAAGCGCTGTATTGTCGAAGACGGTACAGCTTCCACAGCGAAAAATATTTGAATCGTGTAAAGCAGCCAGATTATATGCAAAATATCATATAACGCTTTCAATGATTCTATCCAGGGCCGGCACAGCTTCCCTTTCATCAAATGTCACCGCACGCCACTGATGATTTCTCATTGGTTAATATCGACACCCAAGAATTGTCTAGTTTTTATATTTTTTTAAAATCGCGGAGAGTATATTTGAAAAATAAATATAAAAATTAATTGTCTGAATAAACAGTCACATTACGACGACCATTATACCTCGTACACACACACACAAAACTTAACTACTTCAAACCTTTCTTTGTAGAATTCTAGAAGAATGGTGTAGCTGCCTTGTCGAATATGCACATTGTCGTGCAATGTCCGACGAGACAGCTACACCATCCTTCTAAAATCAACAAACAAACAATCAAAATAAATATACGTAATTAATTAATTAAACCTTAATACAGTGTTTTTCGGTCTTTTTCTAATAATGGCATCCCAACTTTATAATTTTTTCTTATGGCACTCCGATTTCTTTATCAGTGTAAAGTTAATGCATTATTCGCAGTTTTAATAATTACACTAATTGTACTAAAGTGTTAAAAGTAGATTTCATTACCGGTAAACGGTTTAACGATCTAAATCAGGTAAAAACGCATCGATAGACATATCGGTAAATTGACATTTCTCCCGGTAAAATCGATTAAAAAAATTGACAGACGTAAATTTTTTGAAGCCAAATTATACAGTGGGTGATCGGTTAACGAACTTTCGCGAAAGATTTTTAAGTTCGGATAACGAACACCTCACAGAACAAACACAAGAAGCGACATAAAATAATGAATATCGATTGGTCTTCCTTGTCTTCAGGCAACAATTCGAAACTTTTCGGAGCGCGGGAGACGTCGATATCAACGCTCAACTCAGTATATACTGATCGAATTCTCCCTTTTAATTCCAGCCTTTTATTTTTCTGACAAACAATTTTTTTTAATAGTACTCGCGAGACTGTTGGGCAGGCACTCGTTAAGTTTTGTGTCGGTTTTATTTTCGAAAGTTGAGAGTATAATAGCAAAGGTAGAGTGGGGCAGATGTCTATTCAACTACTAACAGCAGCAACTTCAGGCAACACAATATCAAGACATATCAGTGTGCAGGCTGGATCAAGTTGATCCCAAGAAGCGATATTTCGATACATCTAAGTCACCACATAAGAAAGCAAGTAGAAATACTTGAGCAGCAGATGAATATAAGCAATTTTATCAATTTTACTTACAGCAATGGACGGCTGCATCAATTTAAACAGCATCATGGCCTATCGCAGGAAATATTGTGAAACTGCTAAAGTTGATTTGGATGTTGTAGAAGAGGAACTAGTCCATCAACAATAATAGAGCAGTATGATATAAAAGACACATATAAAATAGATGAAACCACTTTATTTTACTGATTACAACCTGATAAAACAATTGCTCATGTACCTGTAAAAGGCTGAATGAAGAATAAACATAAAATCACAATTGCCTTTTTTTTGTAATTCAGACAGTAGTGATAAGAGAGCTGTGACTGTTATTGGAAGATTCAAAAAGCCTCATTGCTTTAAAAATTTCAATCCTCTTATTTATTGCCATTACAAGTACAACAAAAGGGGATGGATGACAACCCTACTTTTCTAAGAATTTGTTGAAGATTTTAATAGGGATATGAAGAGAGAAAACTATAATGTCTGTCCTACTATTAATTGATAATGTACCCTGTCATAAGATAGTCAATCCGAGCAATGTGGAAATACAATTCTTTCCAGCAAATTGTATGGGAATTCTGCAACCCCTTCACACTGGCATAATAAAACGTTTTAAGTCTAACTACAGACCACTATCAAATAAAGAAAATTATCGAATGAATCAATGATGAAATCTCTATTGAGATGACCCTGAAAATTGCACTCTGGCTAATTAAAAAATGCCACCAATCCATACTGATCCAAGATAAAGCAGAACTGTTGAAAAAATAGACTGTGATGTTCCAATGTGATATCTATGGTATTGGTTCATCAAATGTTTATGATATAAAGATGCAAAAGAGTACTAATGTCTTAATGTACAAGTACAGTACTGTATTTTATTTATTTGCTTATTTAATTTACATTTAATATTTATTTAAGTTTTTAGCAGTCCCTGGTATACTTTAGACCAGTGCTCCAAATCTTTTCTCATGCACAGCATATTTAGATACTTCCCAGAATTCCATGGCACACCACAAATAAAAATATGCAAAAAAATATAGGAGTTACAAGTACATACAAAAAAATAAAAAAATACTGATTTACTGTTTTTTTACTTGTGATAATATAAAAATATTTGAAATTAGTTTCTAATTAATTTTCTTATTCAATTTTATTTCTTAACAATCCAGACACCAACCTGTACAAAGTATCACATAGTCCTATTGGGTTGTTCGAAAAGAAATTTCGTTTTTTATTACTAGAGGAATTAGTTGTATTTTTACCAGCCAATTTCATTTTAAACCACATTTTCATTATACATTTTGACAGCTGACATTTTAAGGCTTATTTGTAAAAAATTTTGTTTGATTCTGTACAATTTTTTTTTTTCGGTGTCCCATCAAATATGGAAAATAGAAAGCATCATTTTCAACATATTTTGCTTTTTTATTACCAAAAAATCAAAATGCTGTTCAAGCAAGAAAAATATTGTGGTA